AAGGGACTTGATAGACCGTGAGATTGAATTTATCATTGATATTGTGTCGGGTACTCAATCGATTTCTAAGGCTCTGTACAGAATGTCTCTGGCAGAAATGAAGGAATTGAAGATATAGTTGCAAGAATTGCTTGACAAAGGGTTCATCCAACCGACTACATTGCCATAGGACGCACCCATTTTGTTTGTGAAGAAGAAGTATGGGACCCTTCGGTTGTGTATTGATTACCGAGAACTTAATAAGGTAACGGTGAAGAATAAATATCCTTTACCACTGATTGATGATTTGTTTGACCAATTACAGGGGGTATAATTGTTTTCAAAAATTGACTTGAGATCTGGGTACCATCAGCTGAAAGTCAAAGCAGAAGATGTGAAGAAGACCGCCTTCTGAACCAGGTACAACCATTATGAATTTTTAGTCATGCCATTTGGAGTTACAAATGCACCAACAGCTTTTATGGATTTAATGAATCGAGTTTTCAAACCTTACTTGGATGAGTTTGTAGTGGTATTCATTGATGACATTCTTATTTATTCGAAGAGTAGTGAGGAACATGAAAAACACTTGAGATTAATTCTTCAAACACTTAGGGACAATAAGTTATATGCTAAATTGAAGAAATGTGAATTTTTGTCGAATGAAGTTGTGTTTTTTCATGGATATACTGAGAGGCCATCGGCCAAAATATGATGCCATCGGCCAAATTTAATGATATCGGCCAACAATTGTTAGCCGATCAGCACTCCAGATAGCCGATCGGCCATCTCTTCCTGCAAACTGCTCCTTTTGCTGCAGTAGAGAACAAACAAGGGCATGGCAATACATTTGCAAGAAAATGTTGTGCACTTACACCCTTTATCATGTTTGAGACTCAAAGGAGTGTAGTATTCGACTCTCGAGCTATTAATCACGTATTTCGATGCATGATGGCCAAAGAGGCCAAATTGCACAAATCAATATGGAATGAATGCACAAAAACACATGAATGCCTCACACTCTATCATGTTGGATCAAGAGTATCGGTGACCGAGGATTGAGGCACGTTTCGTCACTTCAATTACAAAACGTCCATCGGTCCTGGTGTTTGGTTTGACACCCCAAACCAAACACAATGCAATGCATGCAACATGGAAAAGCTATGCAGTGCAACATAAGCATGCCAAATGCAATATGACTCAAACATGCACACGAGGCTAAGGTAACAAGCATGCCAAATGCAATGCAATCTAAACAAACATGTGACAAAATGCAAACTAGCAAGCATGCAAAATGCAACCTAAACATACAAACATGCATAGCATGCAAAGATGGACAAGCATGGAACAACATGCAAACTAGCAAGCATACAACAACATGCAACATGTCAAGCATGCAACAACATGCAAAGATAGACTTAAACCAAAATGGGCAGACCTCAGCCATGCCCAAATCAGTGGCCAAAATGCTAAGAAATGATGGAATGAAATGCGAAAGAAGCATGCATGCCAATTGGCCTATCACTTAGGCATAAGGACACAACTCTCAAACATGAGCAAGGAGTGACAAACATGAGAATGTGGCAATGCAATAAGCTCTAAAACCATACGAGGAATGATGCCAAATCATGCACACAAGTCAAGCATAACATGCAAGAAAGCTCAAGGCTTAAGGCCAGCCAAGGTGCTTGTTCTAAGGCCATAACAAGCAAGCCCCAAAGGGCCAAGGTGACTTGTAACAGTCCCAAGGCAAACCAAAACAAGGCTAGAACATGCATGGAATGAGGCCAAAACATGTTAGAAAGGTGAGCACAAAACATGACGCATACAAGGCCAATAAGGATGATTGCACTACACCTATCAAAACAAAGCACAATATGATTTAACCAATGAAAAACAGAGTTATGGCATGTCAAAAAAAGCCCAAAAACCCACTGAGATGGAATCCCAAAAGCCTAAGTATGATAGCATGCACAATGATTCACTCTTGAGGCATAAAACACCAACTCTCTTAAGCATGGAAAATGTGATAAATGTGAGTGCATGAACACACTATATGGACTGAAATCACATATGAAATGATGCCAAATCATGAAAATAGTCTAAGCAATGCATGCTAACAACTTGGACACTCAAAGCCAACAAGCTAGATTGAACCAAGGCTATACAAAACAATGCATGCATGACTAAAACAACATCAAACAGAGCTCAAGCATGGTAAAACATGAGGGAAAACTTCTTTGAGTTGAGCCAAAACATGCAAGAATGATGGTCCAAACACATGATGCATGTTATGCTAGCATGCAAGATTGCTCTACAAGCATGTGAAGCATGCAAGATGCTATCAAACCAACTTAAAACAGAGTTGAAGCATGCTAAAATAACACCAAAAAGTTGCTGAAATGGAACCAAAACATGCTAAGCAAACATGCTATTATTATGAGCCATTTATACTAGCATATGAGACACAAGGAGAGAGGGGTGTCCCTCTCCTATTTAAGACTCCAAAACCACCTTTCCACCATTGAAAATCCTCTGGATTTCAGGGGTGAGAAGGCCAAAACAAGGTGGTTCCAAAAGCTTAAAAAGGAAAGCACAAAACAAGGCCAAACAAGGCCTAAGAGGGGGTAGACTACCCCCAACACAAAAGTGACCTTAAACAAACATCACGAGCATGAAAAATCAAAACTTTTTACAGTAGGAAGTTAAGTTTAAATCAGCATGCAAATAGGTCCAAAAGCTTAAGCAAGAATAAGGGATTAAAGGCTTAGAATCTCACCCTTGAAGAACACCTTCAAGAACACAACTCCAGCAGTTTTTCTGAGCTTAAACCACTCCAAAAATACTAAAACCAACTCCTCAATACCTCATCAACAAAAGGATGGTGTTCTAGTAGGTGTTTGTGTGCAATAGTATGAAGATTTTACACTTTTAGGCACAAACAAGAGCAAATATGAAGAGAGAGAGGAAATATAGAGAGAGATATAGAACTTGTATCTCAACTTTTTCAGAACCTCTGGAAAGGGAGAAGGGCCTCCCTTCTCATAGAAATTCAATTCTCAAGCTTGTTGAACAAGCTTGAGTCTTGATGCAATCCCTCCATACACGTGTATGAAGGATGAGAATTGTGCTCACCAGCAGTCACAGTTGGCACAAAATATCTACAAAGAGCAGATGGAAAGGCCTTGGCCAGAAAAAATGGCTCATCGACCAAAAGGAGTGTCGATCGACCAAAAAGAGTGCCGATCGGCCAACACTTATGGCCAATGGCAAGGAAACATGGCCGATGGCACAAAGCCTTAGCCGATGGGTTGTAGGGATGGCCAACTAGCCACCCTCTTCCCACAGAAGCAAAAACACAAGTCCTTGGTCCACAACCAAGCACAAAACAGACAAGTTGAGAGATCCTAAGGCAAGGCGCGCAGCCGAGGCCTTCGGGAACTCAAACGAACACGAGCATAGATAATCATTGAGTGTTCAAACGATGACGTCCAAGTCTTGAGGACAGTCAAAAATGGGGTGTCTACACCAACCGCGAAGGGTGGCCGAGTGACCGGACCGACGGCGAGACGGGCCGACCGCGAAGAGTGACCGAGTGGAGAGGGCCGACCACGAAGGGTGGCCGAGTGGAGGGGAAATGGCGGTGCGTGGGGCTCGAGGAACGGCAGGGCACATGGTGATGTGAAGTGGAATAGACAGGGAAGCGGAATGGAGTAATGGATCATGGGTGTACACGTGGCATAATCCTTTTATGGGGGAGGTGACGCATTGGTAAGAAGGGACAGGGACAGGGTAATATAGGGTAGTGAAAAGGCAGGGGCGAGAGTTTTTCAAAATTTTTCAAACTGGCAAAATTTAATTTTGACCCTTGGAATATAGGCAAGCCGTGGGCGTTTGGAGTTATTTGCTTTACCTACCTTTTTGCAAAAAACGAGCACATCCTAGAAGTAAACTCATTTGTTTCGTGCGATACACCTCTGCAACACTTTGTGAACTTACTTGTGCCAGCGTCTGAAGCTATTCGCAGACACATAGGAGAGATGGCTCGAGACAAAGTGCCATCCATGAGACTAGATTCTTTGGGGGAAGACGACGCGGTGAAGTTGGCGAAACAGTACCGATCGAAGCGGAGGGAGGAGAGGGAAGCTATACAAGAGGCGCGAGCTCGTCTATCCACAATGATCACGGCCACCAAGCCGATTAACCAGGTGGAGCCGGACCACTAGCACACCAAGGCAGGCAGATCTATGTTTACAGTGGAGGAGTTGGAGGAGGTATGAAGGAAGTACCAAATTCCTGCGGAAATAGAGCTGAGCCTGCCCACATCGAAGGAGAGGGCGTCAGATGTATGGGTGAGAGAATTTACCTTGTACAAGGAGGCATTGCGGGGGGGCCTAAGGCTACCCCTCCCCCAAATAGTGGTGGACATTCTTAACAAGTTAGAGGTGGCGTTAGGGCAGTTGATGCCGAATGCCTGGAAAATAGTGATGGCTTGTGCGAGCGCCTGGCCGCAGGCTACCGGAGAGGCGGCGATGATGGTGGAGGAGTTCTTCTCCTGCTACAAGGCCTCTAGTCAGCAAGAGACATGGGTGACATCGCATGTAGTGGCGGACCGGGGTCTAGTGGCGGGCTTGCCATCGTCGGTGAAGGGGTGGAAGCCGAGATGGTTCTATGTGTCAACGAATGGTGGGGCAGGAGTTCGCATAACATGGAAAGTCCCCACAAAATCGGTGGAGCCAAAGTTAGATGTAGCGGCCGAACACAGGGTGAAGAAGGTAAAGTAGTGGAAGGAAGAGAAGGGGGTGAAGTGGGATGAGCTGATCCTTCCTTCAACCCTGTTTGCCGTGAGATTGGGACCGCAGCCGACGAAGGCGCATCAGGTGAGGAAGGAGCTGGAGGCGCGGAGGAAGGAGGAGGAAGCGGCAGAAAGGAGAGTGTTCGCCAAAGCGGACAAATATAAGGAGACAACGCTGGGGCCCACCCCAAAACTGGTGATAAAGGAGCGGGTCTGACCACGTCCCATGCCGTTGGGGGACAAAAACCTGACTGACTTTGCCCCGTTGCCACCACCCGTAGACCCACTGAAGGAGAGGAGCAAACAAGAGGTGGAGGTAGTGTTGAAGAAAACAAAGAAAAAGAGAGCTGCCACTGAGGGGAGTAAGAATGCCCTAGTTTTGAAGAAGTTGAAGGAGAGGAAGACGGAGGGGGACTCAGAAAAGGAGAAGCCAGAGGAGGAAAAGGTGAAGGAGGCTCCAGAAAAGGAGACCGCCGAAGCCGCGAAGGGTGACAAGGGCCCAAGCGCCCAAGTGCTGGAAGAACACGTGGAGACCGCCCAGGCGGCGAAGGAAGACAAAGGTCCGAGCACCCAAGGGGTGGCGACGGTGATAAAAGTAACCCCCAGTCCTAGCGAAGGGAAGGCTGGGTTCAGCACTCCAGGGACAAGTGTCGCGCTGACGACCGCGTTATACCGCACGCACGCTAACAGGTCGTTCGGCAGACGAAAGAGGGAAAGCCAGAGTGGCAGCCGACCACCTAGTCAGAGTGCTGGAGGACGCTGCTATTCGGTCGATGGCACGACTGGGGGAAGCCAACCTCCTAAGAGGGTTATGCACTGCCCAAATGGAGGCAGCGACCCTGGCGGCTGCCCTGCTGAATAAAGCAGCGTGTGCGAACATGGAGATAGAGCCACTGAGGGTTCAACTAGAATGGGTGAAGGGGCAGCTCCAGAAACTAACGGAGGAGACAGCGGGCTGGAAGAAAGCCACTCGGATTACATGCACAAAGGGGTGGGAGAGTGCGCAAAGAGCGAAGAAGATAGAAGTGTTGGCTGTGGTGCAGGGCTATGCAGCAAAACGTGCTGGTGCTGAGCTCCTCTCAACCAAATCATAGCTGGAAGCGGAGCGCCGTAAGGCGATATTGCTGGAGTTCGAACTGGAAGGCGAGAAGAAGCAACTGGAGTCGGTCCGAGAAGCCTGCACCACCACCAATGAAAGGTGGGAAGAGGCTCTGGCCAATAATGAGGATCTGCACGCTCAGTCAATCAAGGACAAGGAAGAAGCAGATCAGCGGATTGCTGAGTTGGAGAAGGTTTTAGCGGAGGAAAGGGTCAAATTGGCGTTGGAGAGAGCGGCGCACCCCGACCTGTGTAAGGCGGCGGTGGAGCAATTAAAGGAGTCGGTCGAATTCCAGATAGCCATTGACGCCGCTGTCGCTAGGAGCTTGGCGAGAGAGGGGGATGGGGGGGCTGGACCATTAAGAGCGGTCGTTGGAAGTAGGAGCGAAAAGGAAGTGATCCAGAGCTTCCAGCGGTCGGACTTCTACGAGCATGAAATGGCTAAGTTCTGGGATAGTGGCTAGATGACCTTCAAACATAAAGCACAAGAGCTGTTCCCAGACGTGGATTCAGCCCAGACCCCCTTGGACGAGGGGATTGAGGAGGAAGATCTGGTGTCTAGTGAGGAAGAGTGATCTATGTAAAAATTTTATTTTTGTGTTTGTGTGTGTGTGTGTGTGTTTTTTTTTTTTTTTTTTTGTATGTAGATTTGGCCTCAAATTGTATAAAAGCGTAAGTTTGTGAATAAAGCCATGAGATTTCTTTTGTATTGTTGTTGTCCTTATTTCTTGTGAGTTGTAAATTTGGAAGAGTGGAAATGGCTGAGCCGAATCCAATGAAAAATAGGTGTGAAAGTAAGACTTGTGCGTTGATTGTGAAGCTTGCTAGTAGACTACGATGTAAAAAGTTTGGAAATGGGCAGCCAGCCTAACTTGTGAGAAAATCATGATGCAAAAAACGTTAAAAATGGGCATACAGGAAAATGTTAAAAATGAAAAATTGGCTTGGACGACTATGGACCTGGACTTTAACTAACTTAAAAGTTTGGAAATGTAAAATTGAAAATGTAAAGAATGTTAAAAATGTCGTAGTATGGATCTGGCGTAATTAACTCAGTCTGGCTGAGACTTAATGAACTCAGTTTAACAAGTCGTTATTGAAGCACAACACAGATAACGGAGATATAAAATCATTGCCATTTAAGGCGTAGCCTATTGATCACAAAATTACACCATGTATGAAAAGGACGAAAACAACCAAGTGTGTAGATTGTCAAAAAGAACATACAGCAATTGATCAATACAAAAATAGGACATGGCACTTTACTGGAAATAACGCTTCAAGTGCTTGGCGTTCCACGGGTGGGGGAGGTCTTAGCCTTCCATATCCTGGAGTCGGTAAGTGCCCGGGCGAGGTCTGGCCTTAACAACGTAAGGTCCTCCCACTTGGTAGCCAGCTTGCCCTCGGAAGGATTTTTGGTGGCAAAAGTTGCTTCGTGCAAAACTAGGTCCCCCACTACGAACTCCCTCGGTCGGACTTTGCGGTTGTAGTGTGTTCTCATTTTCTATTGATATGAGGCCCGTCTGACAGCAGTGGTCTCTCAGAGCTCTTTAATCAAGTCTAAGTCAGCCCAATGCAATTCTTAGGTGAGTTCTGGATTCGGGTGCAAAACCCTTGGGGTTAGCAGACCGATTTCCACGAGGATGACCACTTCAGTGTCATATGTTAGGCGAAAGGAGGTCTCCCCAGTGGGGGTTCGGGCAGTAGTGTGGTAGGCCCAGAGTACGTTTGGCAATTCCTCAGCCCAGAGCCCCTTAGCGACTTCCAACTTAGTTTTGATGATCTTCAAGAGAGAACGGTTGGTAACCTTAACTTGCCCATTGGCTTGGGGATGACTTGGGGAAGAGAAACATGGTTGAATGTGAAGCTCTGCACAGAATTTTCTGAACTTGGCATTGTCGAATTACTTGCTGTTGTCTAAGACGATGGCTTGAGGGATTCCAAATCGACATACGATCGTAGTATGGATCTGGCATAATTAACTCAGTCTGGCTGAGGCTTAATTAACTCAGTCTGGCAGAGCTCTTCATGCTCAGTCTGGCTGAGACTTAATGAACTCAGTTTAACAAGTCGTTATTGAAGCACAACACAGATAACGGAGATATAAAATCATTGCCATTTAAGGCGTAGCCTATTGATCACAAATTTACACCATGTATGAAAAGGACGAAAACAACCAAGTGTGTAGATTGTCAAAAAGAACATACAGCAATTGATCAATACAAAAATAGGACATGGCACTTTACTGGAAATAACGCTTCAAGTGTTTGGCGTTCCACGGGTGGGGGAGGTCTCAGCCTTCCATATCCTGGAGTCGGTAAGTGCCCAGGCGAGGTCTGGCCTTAACAACGTAAGGTCCTTCCCACTTGGCAGCCAGCTTGCCCTCGGAAGGATTTTTGGTGGCAAAAGTTGCTTCGTGCAAAACTAGGTCCCCCACTACGAACTCCCTCGGCCGGACTTTGCGATTGTAGTGTGTTCTCATTTTCTATTGATATGAGGCCCGTCTGATAGCAGTGGTCTCTCAGAGCTCTTTAATCAAGTCTAAGTCAGCCCAATGCAATTCTTCGATGAGTTCTGGATTCGGGTGCAAAACCCTTGGGGTTAGCAGACCGATTTCCACGGGGATGACCACTTCAGTGTCGTATGTTAGGCGAAAGGAGGTCTCCCCAGTGGGGGTTCGGGCAGTAGTGTGGTAGGCCCAGAGTACGTTTGGCAATTCCTCAGCCCAGAGCCCCTTAGCGACTTCCAACTTAGTTTTGATGATCTTCAGGAGAGAACGGTTGGTAACCTTAACTTGCCCATTGGCTTGGGGATGACTTGGGGAAGAGAAACATGGTTGAATGTGAAGCTCTGAACAGAATTTTCTGAACTTGGCATTGTCGAATTACTTGCTGTTATCTAAGACGATGGCTTGAGGGATTCCAAATCAGCATACGATCGACTGCCAGATGAATCGGGTTGTGTTCCGTTTGATGATTGTGGCGAGGGGTTCCGCTTCTACCCATTTAGTGAAGTAATCAATGGCGATGATAGCAAACTTGATTTGGCCCCTACCGGTGGGTAATGGGCCAACTAAGTCGATCTGCCATTTGGCGAAGGGGTAGGGACTGCAAAGTGTGATCAGTTCCGTAGGAGGAGCATGGGAGATGTTGGCAAAGCGTTGGCATTGATCACACTTAAGCACGAATTCAGCGGCATCTTGGTTGAGAGTAGGCTAGAAGTAACCGGTGTGAAGTATTTTATGGGTTAGTGACCTGGCACCGGAATGATTACCACATACACCCTCGTAGACTTCCCTCATCACATTGGTCGCTTGAGCAGGATTGAGGCATCTGAGGTATGATCGTGAAAATCCACATTTGTACAAAGAGGCTACTGATGAGGATGTAATTGGACGACCGGGCCCTGACTTTGGCAGCCTGCTATTTGTCGTCTGGCAACTCCCCACTGGTCAAAAATAGAAGGATTTTCGCCATCCATGGGATAGGTTCATTTTGGAGGAAGTGGACCTCGTGCTGGTTTGGCGAAATAGCTGGGTGGGCTAGGTATTCAAGGCGGACGCCACGACTGAGGTCTGACTAGTCGGCCGAAGCTAATTGAGCCATTTCATCTACCTTGGAGTTTTCTGACCAGGGGATGTGTTGGATATGGAAAGTGTTGAAAAGGCGAATAAGGGGGAGCGCAATATCCCTATAAGCTCGCATTGTGTCTTCCTTTGCCTTGAATTCCCCCGTAATTTGTCCGACCATCAATTGAGAATCGCTAAACACTTGGATATGGCTTACACCAATGTCTCTGGCTAGGCGAAGACCTGTTATCAAGGCCTCATATTTGGCCTCATTATTGCTTGCGTCGAACAAGAAATGGAGAGCACACTTGAAATAATCACCCTCGGGAGCGATGAGGATGAGACCGGCCCCACTTCTTTCTTTGCGGGATGATCTATCGACATGGAGGGTCCAAGAGTGGGGATCTTTTGCCTCAGTGTTGAATTGCCTAGGTGGGGGGGCTGTGGTTGGGATGGGATTGGTGAATTCCAAGATAAAATCAGCAACAGCCTGCCCTTTGATCGCTGTTCGAGGTTGGTAGGAGATTTCAAATTGGCTGAGCACGACAGACCATTGCATAAGTCTGCCAGACAACTCTGGTTGTTGCATTATCTTCTTCAAAGGTTGGTCAATGAGAACCACTATGGAGTGAGCTTGGAAGTAAGGTCGGAGTCGTCTAGAGGCTATGACCAAGGCCAAGGCCATTTTTTCCAGCAATGAGTAGTTCTGTTCCGCTCCCCTGAGAGCCCGGCTAATGTAATAAATCAGACGCTGGACTGAGCCGTCCTCCCTGATGAGGCACTGACTGCAGTGTTTGATATGGCTAAGTAGAGAAAAGAGGGCTCACCCGTGAGCGCCTGAGAGAGTAAGGGGGTTGGCCATGCACTGCTTCAATTGTTGAAAGGCCCCTTCAGATTCGGTCGTCCACTCAAAAGCCTGCCAAAGGACTTTAAAAAAGGGGAGGCACTTGTCTGTTGCGCGGGAGATAAAACGGTTGAGGGCGGCGACTCTGCCTGTAAGCCTTTGAACCTCTTTAATCGTTTTGGGTGACTGTATTTCTATCAGGGCCTTGATTTTTCAGGATTGGCCTCGATACCCCGTTAACTGACCAGGAAACCCAAGAATTTCCTCGATCTGACGCCGAAGGCATATTTCTCCAGATTCAGCTTCATTTGATACTTACGCAAGGTTGCGAAAGTCTCTCGCAAGTCTGCCAAATGATCAGAGGAGAGTTTGCTTTTGACAAGCATGTCATCGATGTAGACTTCCATGTTCCGAACTATTTGATGGTGAAAAATAGCGTTGACCAACCGTTGGTAAGTGGCTTCGGCATTCTTCAATCCGAAAGGCATAACACGATAGTGGTAAGTTCCTCTGTCTGTGATGAAGGAGGTGTGTTCCTAGTCAGCTAGGTGCATCAGAATTTGATTGTAGCCAGAGAAAGCATTATGAAATTGAGCATCTGGTGTCCGGCCGTGGCGTCGATGAGCAGATCTATGTATGGGAGGGAATAACTGTCTTTGGGGCAAGCCCGATTGAGGTTGGAGTAGTCGACGCAGAGTCACCATTTGCCGTTGTTTTTGCAGACCAAGACCACATTTGACAGCCATCTAGGGTAGTCTACATTCTTGACAAACCGTGCCTCTAGCAGTTGTCTACCTCAGAAGCAATAAGTGTATTGCGTTCTGGGTGAAAGATACGCTTCTTCTGGCAAAAAGGTCGGAAGTGGGGCTAGATGCTGAGACGATGAGTGATGAAGGAAGGATCAATACCCGGCATGTCGGAATGGGTCCAGGCAAACCCATCATTGTGCTCGGTTAGGAGGGTTGTAAGGTCGGCCTTGGCTTGGGGGGATAGTTGGCTACTGATCTTGGCTGTTTTGGTTGGGCTGGTGGGGTCGATGAAGACTTCAATAA